TTTCCCTGCATCTTAATTGGGTGGGTTCTCGAAATCTCTAAGATCTTGTCTCGTGTTGTTCTTTTATAAAATCTAATATGCACCTCCCTGGGCACCTTAGTCCTTCTGGCATACGCAGAATTTCTTCTGTATACTAGTTCTATCTCTTGCGACATATCCTCTTCTGTTATTCCCATCGTCTCTGCTAGGGTAGCTGTTATAACTTCCTTGATATTCTCTCCTTGATTTTCAGGAATGTTCTGTAGCCTCAGCAAGTATGCCGCCTTCTCGAATTCTAATGTCATCAGCGCTTCTTCTACTGATTCAAATTTCTTGTTAAGTTCTTGCATCTGTTGGTCCATCACCTCCATATTTTCATCTGTAATATTTTTCGCTTGTTTTAGTTTAACAATTTCTTTTTTATTCTCAACTATCTGGCTTTTAAATTCTTCCATCTGTACTGAGATGTTCTGAGTTAGAACATCTATTTTCGTCTGAAGGGGCTCTAACATCTTAGTCATAAGGTTAGGCAGCATATTCTGCATTGCTGAGTTTACCGCCTGTGTGACACTCTCATTAATTTGTGCACTTAGGTCTTTTGTCTGACCCAAGTTCGAGGCTACCGTTTTAATCTGGCCTGGAGACGGAACTGAGGTTTTCCTAGCACCACTTGCCATTATATTTAACTTCAATTACCCTTTCCTCTCTTCAAATTATTTATTTCTCTCTTGCCAGGCTGTACTTATTTATTTATTTATTTATTGAAATCTCTTGAGATATTGTTTGATTGTTTAAATACCCTATTAAGCCTATTAAGTCTTTAATCATCGATGGTTAACAATTCATTCAATCCACAATTCATCAATAATCAGCAATTCATTAATAATAATCAGCAATTCATTCAGTCCATAATTCATTTAGTACTCTTAATCATCACACAGTTCATTCCCAACACACAGAGGAAAATCACCTCTGACAATCACTTCACTTCCCCCCTCACAACCTCACAACCACCCAGTCACCCTTCCATCAAATACCAATTAACCAGTTTTAGAAGTTTTAGAAGCTAAATGTGCTGTAGAGATAAGCCTCACGTATTTCAAGTTCAAACTATATCCCTCAACCAACTTCTGTCCTTCTCTCCGTCCTGGTCCGTTCAATTATCAAACTGTCGTCGTGTCTATCACCACTCTTTGTCTCTCCGCACTCCGAACTCCAAATCTCTGAGCTCCGTCTTGTCTTCAGAGTGCCATGCAGGCCAAATAAGTCAATTGTTCGATTGGTCGATGCTGCCGCAAAGACGCCTCGATAGACGCCACAAAACGCCAGCACCGATATATTAAATGCACAGTACGACAGTACGACAGTTATAGCGTCCTTTAATTTAAACGGAGTCCGATCAAAAACGCACAGCAAGTATTCATTCACTAGACGCCCCACACTTTCCACCTTTTCTCCTCACTAAGCCGGTCTCACATTAAGCAGCCGCTCACCACATCCGTGTTCTCGGCATTAGAGGGCTGGAAGACTCCCTCTCTCTGATCTGCTCCTCGCTTCTCACTCCGATTGTTCGCTTTCACCCGGGGGGTTAAACCAACGTGTAAAGTTCAAAATATTACATTCATCAGCTTACGTCTCTGTCAGGAGTACTGCTGCTCCTCCTCGGTTTTCACGGACCCGGCTATAGGTAGGAAAAACAACCTCTTGTCTCGACCTACTGCTTCGGCAGATTTCTGGGGACAAAACCAACGCGCCGCCGCTCGTCGCCGGCCTCAGAAACAAAGTGCCCTGCTCAAGCTTCCCTCCAGGACAGCTTGGAGATTTTTTGGTGAAACCAAAGTCTCTCAAATAGGTCGGGAATGCCGGAAAGTCATGAGCCGAAGCTCAGCGTTGCCGGCTATCGCCGGGACCGGAACCGGAAAGGAGTGCCCACGAGTTCTTGTATTGTTAATGTAGGTTTTCAGGTTTGAATTTTTTACTGTTGAGTTTTGTGGTTTTCTGAGTTTCTCAAATTATATTACTGTGATACACCTATTATTCTGGTAACCAGTTATTCAGTACCCATATTTGTTTTATATGTGTAAAAACTGTTAATGCTTTATGGAAAATTATAAAACTCAATAAAGTGTTTATTAAAAAAAATCAGACACTGTTAAATAAACAAAATATTGCAAGAAAAAAAAAATGTGGCCGGCATGACTAAACACCGAGGCGCACGGAATGCTGTGACCTTCCCACCGAAGCAGTACCTATTTATCTACTTGCCATTTCTTGCTTTCGAACTGCTAGGTTGGCAGGAGCTGGAACCAGAGACGGGAGCTCACTCCGTCATGCGGCACCCGGGTCTCGAGCTACTGAACTACTGACCTTCCACAGCCTGCAGTTCAGCGTCTTAACCACTTGAGCCACCGCAGCTCAGTGTATGTAGCCATCAGTATATGTAAGTTCCCCCAAGGAGGCATAATAGTGGCTTCCCAGAGCTGTGGCAGGTCAGGAAAGGGCAAAGGCTTAGGCCCCTTACCTAGGGTTGCCGCCCTCCAGGTGACACCTGGATATCTCCCACTATTACAAGCGACCTCCAAACTACAAGCAACCTCCAAACTACAGAGGTCAGCTCCCCTGGAGAAAATGGCTGCTTTGGAGGATGGAATATATGACATTGGGCCATGCTGAGGCCCCTCCCCTCCTCAAACCCCACCCTCCCCAGGCTCCACCCCCAAAAAAATATCCAAGAATTTCCCACCCTGGGGAGCAGGCAACCCTAGCCTTATCCCCATGGTCCTGATCCAAATTGATCCCTCCTTTGCCAGGGAATTGAGTTCTGAATATGATGGATGCATCTGTGACCCAAATCCCAAAGACATTTGTGACAGACAGTAAATGATTAATGCCGTAACTGGGTCTGAGACCCTTGAGTGACAGGGGATTCAGGTGGAATTCTTGAGTTGAGAGGATCAGTTAGGAGAGTGACAGATAATAACTGACAGCTGACTGGGGAGGCAGGCTAAGGGAGTGAGAGGATCAAGCAGGATCCCCATTCAAGCCAGAGGGAAATAGCTCCTAGAACAGAGGGGTGATCCCTATCCAGTCTAAAGGAGAGGATCAATAAGGATCCTGAATTAGGGAAGTGGGAAGCGTAGCCCATCCCTAACAAGTCTGAGAGAGGGGGGTGATCCGCAGGATAAGGAAGGTAATTGGAACTTGTACGAATGTTCCTGCCTTCACCAACTTAAGTGTCTGTAAGACAAAGAAGCTTATGCTCATGTATTTAAACAAAGACTGCCAAGAAATCTCTCCTCAAGTTTTAACAGAAACAGTTACTTGTTTGTGACAAATTATCCAGCATTTATTTGAATACAAAGTTATCTCATTCCTGTGGTTTGTTCACCTCATAAATCCTACACCTGATTCCAACCTGACCATTTCCCCTCAAAGTTAGATAAAACAGTTGCTCATTTTGAACTATCGTCAGCCTCTCATGTGCCATTCTCAAACCAGGACAAAAAGAAGGACTTTAGTCTCTCCCCTCAGCTCCCTAGGCTGGGTCAGCTTCTAACAATAGCCATTCAAATGCCTGGGTGGGACAGCCAGAGAAAAACAAAGAAGAAAAAGGGAAAAAAAGAGTTGCTCAGCAAGAACAAGATAAAGGGAAATCCTGTGAAGGAGGGCGAAATCATCATTGCATCTCAGCAAAGGGGAGGAGGGGAGTTTGCAACACTGGCCTTCACCCGCTCTCCCCAGCTCGTGGTCCACCCTCTGATTGCCTAGGTTGGCCTGTCCGGTCCTCCCAGACTGCCTTGGGGTTGTGACTAATAAAGACCAACCTGGAGGTGGGGCTCCGCTGGGCTCCGCCAATGCCCTCCAATTCGGGTGGGGCCTGGTCCTGTTATGTCTGGATATGTGCCATCTTCCACTCAGGCCTAACGGCTGTGGGTGCAATAGCCAGCATCAGGAGGTATGCCTGGACTTGTCTGGCATGACACCTAGATGGAGAGTGGGGAGGCATGTCTGGGCTTGCCTGGGCAGGCCACCTAGATGGAACGTGGAGCCCCAGAACAAAGGCAGATGGGATCCCGGAACCTGCCTGCGGATTGGCCCCCTGAGGGCAGCCGGCCAATCTGGAGCCTGGAGGCCGTTTGAACTCACCAATCGCATGGGGGCTGGGAGTGGCTGAGGTGTACATAGTTTGGGCCGTTGCCCCATGTAAAGCAGTCCTGTTGAGGTGCAATAAACCTCTGCTTGCTGAAATCACTCTGCCTTCGCCTCTGCCATGTTAGACCCACTATTTAACAGTTCGCTCCCAGTTTCTGGGCCCACGGGCCTCCTTCTGTGCTCCCCCGACCCGAGGCTTCAAAATGACCTCCTGCTGGCTGGCGCTGCTCCCAGGACTTCACTCTCCCCTGCCTCTGCCTGTCTGCAGGTCCTTCCTGCGGATCCTGCCCTTGGCCTGTGATGGCCAGAGGTCATTTCGGGGGGGATCGCGGGGGATCGCCGTTCCCCCGGGTGAGGTGCAGGGGGCGGGGCACATGACGAGGCCCCGCCCCCTGCTTCCGGCCGCCCCGCTTCCGGCCCTCATTCAGCCAGGAGGAGGCAGGAAAAGAGGGAGGGTAAGTTGCTTCCTCCCCGCCTCTCCCCACCCCTGCCTGCCTGGGGCCAGGGCCGGGACCATTGGGGGCGGGGTCTGTGGCCTTATGACACACTTCCAGTGATGTCAGGGGGTGTGGCCTTATGACACACTTCCGGTGATGTCAGGGGGTGAGGCATATACTAATGAGTTATGCTAATGAGTTCCCCTAGCTCTTTTTCTACGAAACGACCCCTGGTGATGGCCATGTCAACCTGGGCAGCTGTCCCCGGCTGTGCTGTGAGGCCTCCTCCCTAGTCCTCCCCCCCCAGCTCTTCCTGGCAAATGGGTCTTCTTGCCTCCTGCCCTGCCCTCCTTCCCCGGCTGCCTCCACTGCTGCCACAGAGCCACCAGTGTTGCCCTGCTGGGTCACAGGGGTGTGGGGAGGCCTTGCCGACGTTGCTGCAGCCGCCCAGCCTGATTCTGGTGCTGGTGGTTGGCGGGCCAGGGCTCCTTCAGCCCCAAGTGCGGTTGGTTGCCAGGTCCCCCCTGGCCACTGGTGGGGGATGTGGGAGGAAAGGTTGCCAGATCCAGGTTGGGAGACTCCTGGAGATTTGGGGGTGGAGCCTGGGGAGGATAGGGACCTCAGTGGGGTACAATGCCATACAGTCCGCCCTTTGAAGCATCCATCTTCTCCAGGGGAACTGACCTCTGGAGATCAGCTGTAATTCCAGGGGATCCCCAGGTCCCACCTGGAGACCAGGGGCTCCAAGGTCACCATGCAGGGTTGCCAGCCTCCAGGTGGGGCCTGGAGATCTCCCGCTTTTGCAGCTGATCTCCAGCTGACGGAAATAAGCTCCTCTGGAGAAAATGGCCACATTGAAGGGTGGACTCCATGGCCTTGTCCCATGCTGAGGCTCCTCCCCACCCCAAACCCCGCCCTCTCCC